AAGGCGACCCAACATTGGATAGCGCTAATTTGTTTAGAATGTGTTTGCTTTAGATTGTAGCCGGCCGAGAGAAATATCAGGACCGGAATGAACATGTTTTTTATACATGGATTTCTATGCCAACTTTTGTGAAACAACGCCGGTTTTCGGAATGGACAGGGTCGGGTTTATACAGGGTTTAATTACTATGAGTATAACGGGAATATGCCATAAATCACAGCCGGTTTAGACAGGGATCCGGGTTAGACAGGGGGATGGTTTAGACAGGTTATACTCTGTATGTGTAAATATTTCAAGGTAATCAGATAGTATTGAAATCACTAACATATAATTCGTATTGGAATCACTGACATACAATTCGTATTGAAATCACTGACATACAATTCGTATTGGAATCACTAACATACAACTCGTATTGGAATCACTAACATACAAATCGTATTGGAATCACTGACATACAATTCGTATTGAAACCACTGACATACAACTCGTATTGGAATCACTGGCATACAAATCGTATTGAAATCACTGACATACAATTCGTATTGGAATCACTGACATACAACTCGTATTGGAATCACTAACATACAAATCGTATTGGAATCACTGACATACAATTCGTATTGAAACCACTGACATACACTTCGTATTGGAACCACTGACATACAACTCGTATTGGAATCACTGGCATACAACTCGTATTGGAATCACTGGCATACAATTCGTATTGGAATCACTGACATACAATTCGTATTGAAATCACTGACATAAAATTCGTATTGAAACCACTGACATACAATTCGTATTGAAATCACTGACATACAATTCGTATTGAAATCCCTAACATACACATCGTATTGTAATCACTTACATACAATTCGTGTTGAAATCACTAACATACAAATCGTATTGGAATCACTGACATGCAACTCGTATTGGAATCACTGACATACAACTCGTATTGGAACCACTGACATACAACTCGTATTGGAACCACTGGCATACCAATCGTATTGTAATCACTGACATACAATTCGTGTTGAAATCACTAACATACAACTCGTATTGGAATCACTGACATACAACTCGTATTGGAACCTCTGACATACAATTCGTGTTGGAATCACTGACATACAACTCGTTTTGGAATCACTGACATACAAATCGTATTGGAATCACGGGCAGGAAATTAGTATTCTATACAGTTAAGATACATATGGAAATAATTCTGAACACCGGTATAACTATGTTTTCTGTATTAATCATTTAGTCAGTCCTGTAATGTCAATAGTCAATCAAAATAAAATAACAAAATTAATTGAAATATACAGATACGATTGGGTTGGTTGGTTATTTAGTCATGTTATAGTTTATGTCACGTATGTGTATATGCTTGATGAAGTGTATTGGCCTGATGTCGACATTACAGTGGCCTTGGGATAGCATGGGTTGGATGTCTACATTACAGTGGCCTTGGGATAGCATGGGTCTGATGTCGACGTAACAGTGGCCTTGGGATAGCACTGGTCTGATGTCGACATTACAGTGGCCTTGGGATAGCACGGGTCTGATGTCTACATTACAGTGGCCTTGGGATAGCATGGGTCTGATGTCGACATTACAGTGGCCTTGGGATAGCACGGGTCTGATGTCTACATTACAGT